TGCAGCGCTGTGAGGAAAAGGAACCCTATTCTATTGAAGCACATGGGAATTATTAACTTACCTTCTTGTTGTTGTTCAATCTGCCACATGAGAGAAGTTTCGCAGAAGTTTACCCCTTAAAATAAGGTGTTAGTTTAATAGCTTGGGACAATCAACTAATCTATATATTTGTATTTAATGAGACTTTACTGTTGCTGTATATTTTGTACTTATGTAAATGTCACTTTATTGATTTTCCTTGATGCATAATTTCTATAATACTTGTATTCTTGCAAAATTATGTGGAAGACACTACAGAAAATGAAACTAGAAAGTTCACTGATGAGGTTGTATAGATCTTTGAAACTACTGCTGTGCAATTCAAGTGTACCAAGAAAATATATTTTTTCATATTTAAGTGTAAAGTAGGGCACATAAATGTTTTCCGTCAAGAGAGGTATGCAGAAGTGTTGGAAGTAAGTATTTATGAGAATTGTTCATTTTCTGTTAAAAATGGGCTGTGGTAAATGCAGCCCTGCCTATCTTTTGTATTATCAGCCACATTGTGATATTTAAAGCAATTTTTTTTTATCCCAGGATTTTGATTAGATAGATGCTCTTACATATGTCAAGGGGTGTGGTTGATCTGCTTGTCCAATTCTATCCACTTGTTTAATTCACTTTTTTAGCTGGTTTATAACTTTAAAGCCTAACTATAAAGGAACATTTCCCCTATGCACGTAATACAGCTCTGTAAACCAGAATGACATGTATACAAAGGTATATGAACATTATTTTGACCTCGTGATAGGTACATGCTGCTGATTTATATAAATATAGATTATCTGGTTACAACTGTTAAGTGTCTATAATATGATGTATTATGTTCTTCACTGAAGCAGTGTCACAGATTTCTTATCACACACGAGGTATGTAATACAGTCTAGCCTTTTCAATTTTGTTGGCCACCTTTACTCAGTCTTGCTGTTATGGTTATTCATGTGGCATGTTTTAAAAAAGAATAAAAATAAAATGTTTAAAGTGAACATAGATTCAGAATACATATACAACTTTTTACTAATAAACTAGGAAAAAGAAAATGATGTAAATGAACACAGCTCTGGTGGACTTCAGTAGAGTTTTGTGCATTTACAGAATCAGAGCATCTGTCTCTGCATGTTAGCTTTAGAACCACTTTTAAAACTTAACACATCCTGTTCTCTGGAACAGGTATACTTTGTTCTAAAAGGTTGCCTCCATTGGCTTAAGAAGAGTATTAGATTTTTGTGATATAAAATATTTATATCTGCTAAATTTTTTAAGTTACATATTCTCAAAAGAACAGAAAGACTGGCAGTTTTTATATACATCTTACATAGATCACACATGGTGTTATAATTTTTATTGGCTTCTGTTGGACAACAATGGAAGTAAAAATGGAACAGTGTTTCTACCTTGAGATCTGTCTGTATGAGAATTCATGCTCATTGTGGCAGTGCTTGAGTGGTGTCAATCTTAAAGTTATATGCATGGAAGTCTGCATAGAGCTTAAGTTATGGAAAAAATAATTATTGCTGTATGAGTATCAATTCAGCAATTTTTACAACTATGAACTTAGAATTTGAAAAGCTGTGAGGAGGATGAACAAAATAATGACTTTGAGGAAAAGAAAGAGTAAAAGTGATGGCTTAGCTGAAAAAATATTACCGTTCTAAAATTTACATAAAAAGGCTTCAAGCATATTCCAGCTACAAATATCTTTTAACTCTCCCAAACCATCCACTGCCCCAGAATACACACCTTCCACTACTTTCAAAACCATCTCTTTAGGAGGAGTTACTATGTCTGCTGCTTTTTCTTTATGCCTTGTACAAAAATCTGTTGTCAAATGCACAGATTGATATTTGAAATAATTTGATTTCCATGGAACTACTCAAGATTGGTAACTGTATTCAGAGAACAAGCCGAGTATTCAGGAGACCTCTGTTCAAGCCCTTGCTCTATCATAAACTTCCTTTCTTAGTTAAGTCTTGAAGGTGCCATTCCTCTGCTGTTTAAAATAGTCATAGTTGCAGTTTACAGATGGGAAACGAGACAAATAAGGGAGCGGTCAGAGCTTCAACCTTGTTGACTTCAAAAGATTTATGACAATTTATAACTGCTAAGAAGTTTCTGCAGTGTTTTTTCTGTGCCTCTTTTTCCATTAGTAAAATAAGAATAATAGTATTTCCCTCCGTCATAGGACAATTATAGAGGAGCAAAATCGTGAGATACTCAGATGTTATGGTAACTAGAGACAGACAGACCTTTAGGTAGACACTTATCTTTATGAACTGTAGATGTAGGTTTATTGTGGAAAGTACTCTTAGTGCCATGATTTCCATTTAGAAGATGCTTCAAAATAAACCATAACAAGATTTGACTTTATTTTTTATTCTTTCCTTTAATGTCCAATCTTTCCTTTTAAAATGTCTACTCACAATATTTAACACTGTCCTTTTAATCTGACTTTTCAGAAAATGTTTTGTTGGCCTTTATAATGATCTTTATACTTGACTCATCTTTTCCCACCCTGACTCATTAGAATAATTGTGTTTGAAAAATATCCCAAAAGAAACTTTAACTTATGACTAAATAACATCTCTCTCCCACCCACATAAGAACACTTAGGTGCATCCACTTTTTTTTTTTTTTTTTTTTTGAGACAGCTGAGACGTTTGGACACCCCTGCAGCTTTGGGGCACTGGACCACACACTCACATCTAGCAGAAGCCAAAAAATGGTAACACCATTATTTTTACTGGGTGTGATCTTTTTCCCACCTGCAGAGATAAACTGTTGCTGTAAAGTTATATGAACTTTGCTTTCTTAAAAAAAATACATTGTTGGAAAAATGAACAGTTTTTGAGAAAAACAAATACAGCAAGGTCAAACACTGGACACTTTCTACCAAAATCATGCATTAATAGGTTGAGCATATAAAAGTTAGAATTTACTCCAAATAGCCAAAGTGAATATACTCAACTTGAGATGATAAAAGACATTGGAGTATAGTGCAGTACACAACCTCAGTGTTGTAACTAAATCTCATCCTATAAGTTATTTCATATTTATTGATTTTGGACCCAGAAATGGCAAGACTCCTCCTGGTCTTTGGTTGAATAAAATGAACATGATTATGCTACAGATGTTTTAACACAAAGACATCTTCCCTCCTAAGATCTTTTTACTTAAATAAATCTCCAGAAGCAGCTATGAGGATTTCTTTTACTATTGTATTGTTCTTAGAGAAATACTGGTCATGTTCACCAATTCTCTTATGCCAATGGCCCAAATCACACAGTTTGGCACTATGGAAACTCCCCCCTGAACTCGAAGCAGTGTTCATGTAAGACTGTACGCAAGGTAACTGACACTGACACTGCAGTGCTAATTAGCCATCCTGCAGTCCAAAACACATTCTGAAAGTTACTTCTAGTTCAAGAGATGGCATGGTTACAGCTGTACAACCTGTGAAGATGCAGTTACCTTGCACAACATGTTTCTGGTGCATACATGCTCAAGGAGTAGTTTCTTGGATACAAATAGGCAAGAAATACAGATTCACTCTAGACAACTTATCTTCCTACTAAAATCAAGGGGAATATGGGGAACTTTTTCCATGCTCCAGTGACTGGCAATTGGAGGTGGCAACTGGAGGTAGGCAAACTGAAAACAAGGAGCACATAAGGTAATCAGTGATGGAACAAATGAAGTCATGAAGTCATCACTGAATGACTTTCAAGCAAAACTGAATGCCTTTCTAATACTTGGCTTCCTTCAAAAGTTATGGGATTTGATGCAAAAAAATTATTCTACGGTCTGTTATACAAATTAGACTACATGATACCCACATACCAATTTGAGCAGAGCATCAGAGATGATAAAAGCCAAGTAGAAGAGTTATTGGGCGCTAAGGTACTTTAAGTATATGATTAGTTTGACTAAACTCTAAACTATAAAGCTATGTTATGTACCTTTTCTTGTTCATCAAATTTGTTAGTACTGTATATGTTTAGTTATTGGTAGTTACTTTTTGGGAGGAATCTGGCCAGTTCTTGTTAAAAATTAATTTAAAAAAAGTGAATCTCCAGGGGCTGATTCTGATCCCAATCACACTTTCAGGGATCAC